TAATATCGTAATAAGTAAGAAAATTTTACATAGGCTTATTATTTTAATATTATAGTATTTTGTATAAATTTTAGATAATAATAAGTTCTTTGAGTAAGAATTATAAGATATTGGCTAAAATGGAATTAATAATAATAGATGTGCTCATTCAACCAAAATAATTCATTTTAGTAGATATAGCAACTTGATAATTGACGGAATAATTTTTTGTTACACGAAATATAGTGGCCTAATAAATATGTACACTGAACAGATTTTATTTTTTGAGATTTTACATGAGTCATATAAGCAATTAATCATGAAATAAAAATTTTGGATCTTCGCAATTATATGTATTTCGAGTTTTTATTTAAATACTTAATTATTTAATTATACTGCTTGCATAAAAATTATAAAGATGGAAAAAAAATATCGTTTTACTATTTAAACTTAACAGAATTTATTTTTTAATTCCTTTGATTACTTTAAATATATTATTAACATTGTTACGAAAACGACGTAACGAAAAACAATAACTGTTTATTCATACTAGTTACCCTAAAGAATCTCCTGAACGCTTTCGATGGAGGCAGCCACGGCGGGCGGTTCTCTGTACAGTAGTCCATAATCAAAAAAATGTAGCCAATATTTTTGAATTTTAGATTATTTAAATTTTAGTGTGAAACAGATCTAATTGATAACTCTGTAGTAAATAGCTCAGAAGATATTAAATAACTTCGATATTAGTATAGTATAAGTTTTTAACACAGTAGTATACAATTTTTAAATTCATAAGTATTATAATAATGACATATAAAGGGAAAATGGAGGGTAAGCAATTTAACAATGGTGGAAAAAATGATATATAAAGGGCAAAATTAAAATTATTGGGGATTGACGTTTTGACTATAAAACGTCTAGTTACTGGTCAGGACGTTTAGTGCGTGAAATGGATGTATTTTGAACGGACTAATTTATATTGTGTTACATTGTTATATTGTATTTTGATTTTATGTTCATTACGTTTCGTAAATAAAAGATAACTATTTAAAAACCGGCACTTAGTGTAAATACTTTATATCCACTGTGTTGTTAAAATTGTGTGTGTGGCAAAAGTCAAGATTGGACTGCTGGTCCATTAGTCAATCTTAACAATTAGTGTGCGTGCTGTCAAATTTTTGGGCTTAACCGTTCTTTAGTAGGTATAGTGAAAAGGTGGCTATCAAGGAGCCATCCATCGGTCTGCTACTTTTTGAGCTCGGGTCAAAAGACTCAAAAAGGGGTCTAAGACTTACCCCTTTAGTGGTTCACTAATAGAAGATTATTGGGGCTAATCAGTGTATCAACAGAAGGATTCAATAAGAGCCAAAAACGACCAACTTGTTAAAATTATTAATTAATTTGTATACTGTTTTTTATGTCTACGTCACAGTACTACCGACGTACGACAACTCATATAAATAATACAATTTCAAAAATTAATTTTTTTTTATTAAAATGTATAAATGACAAAAGTAAACATTATCTTTTTACGTTATTCACTGGTAATTGTGCATATTTACATAATATGAACTAAGATTTTATACCATAGGAAAATCGTAAAAAATAATCAAAATTTAACAAACTTCAAAATGCTGTAAGAACGTAACTACTGAATTAAAATAGAAGTTTTTGGTATCAAAATTTTTCTTTAAAACTTATCAATAAAATGGCTATGTTCAAATCTTAAAAAAAATTTTAATAAAAAAATTAATTTTATAAAATGTTATGTGGATTATAATTTGTGTGAGTTGACAGTTAGATTTGTTCCATTCTGTACATGGAGCCTTACTTAATGATAAATAAATTATATATATTAGTTGGTCACATTTATGATCTCATATGGCTCATATTGTTTGACTTCCATTTGTTAACCTATGGAATTCACTTTATGACATTCTGGAAGTAGTCAATTAAGGGCCGCACAGACATCTTAATAATTACCATAGTGACTAGAATATCACACCTCCCAAGGTACATAGGTTTTGCATTATTTTAAATAAATAATTAAATTATTAGATATAAAGATAGAGGACTTAGCCCCCTTCCACAAAAAATATCGTATGTATTGTTATATAAACATATATTTTTGGAAATTCATATTTAATTAATATACAGATAACGCAAAATTCTAGGCACATTTTTGTTATTTTAATAACAAAATTTTTTCTGGTAATTATAATAAATTATCACATAGTAAAATGAGATTTTTAAAGAGAAATTAATGAGAAACTACTTATATCTTGTATCGTAAAATATATGATACTTCAGCAGTTTTATTATAAGTCAACTTTAAGATTATGTGAGCAAAATTCTTTAATCAAAGAAATAACTATATAAATTTATATATACAGGGTGGCTCACTGACAACTTAAATAACTTTTGATCCAGTTAATATTTTTTGCTAATTTTTTTTTAATATTTAATATACTTAAGGGCCATAATTATAATCAAATAAAAAAATTATAATTTTAAAAATGTACGAGAAATGTTAAAAAAAAATTCAAAATAGCTATTTTTTAGAATAAATTTTATGAAATTTGTAAAAAAATTTCTTATTAATGTTTTGTAATTAATTTTCTGTAACATTTAAAGTTTTTAAAAATTCGATTTTTTCTGTATTTATTCAACGGTATTTCAAACGTTGGCTATGTTTTATAAAAAAAGGACAAAAGTAAATACAATCTTTTCACAGTAAATGTGATATGTGTATGGATTTTACCATGAAAATTGTTAACGTTCTAATAACTTGCTTTAATTCAAATAAAAACACGTATAATACCTATTACTTAATAAGTAATTTTATCTGTTAAGAGATAAAACTACTTATTCTAATTAAAATTAGAATTTATTTATCAAGAGATGTATATTATACTGAGTATAAGGTCTAGTATATTTACAAAGTTGGTATTAATACGAAGATGAGAAATTTGATAAGGCAATTATTACTTATCACTCTCATTAAAAAGCATAAGTAATTTTTATAGAAAAAGTTACACACCTCCAAATTATAGTATTTCAATATTTAATACCGTAAAATAATACATGAATATTCAAATTTTCACAAACTTTAAAATGCTACAGAATATTTACTACTGAATATTAATAAGATATTTTTTTACCAAAACTTTTCTTAAAATCTATTCTACTAAATAACTATCTTCGATTTTTTTTTTACATTTTACTCAAAATTTAAAAATAATCAATATTTTTAAAATGCAAAAAAAAATGAATTATTATGATATAATTATAGACCTAATGTATAATAATTATTTAAAAAAAAATCAGCTAAAAATATTAACTGAATTAAAAGTTATTTGAGATGTCAGTGAGTGCAGGGCCATCCTATATATATAAAGTAATTTAAAATTTTCTTCAGGCGTCATAGATATTTGTAATTTAAATTAAATGTTTAGCAAGCCGTCTGAATATAAAAATAATGTGAATTTATTTTACAAAAATATTTCAAGGTAATGTCTTCAACTAGACACAATTTATGATTTTTTGACGTATCGTAGAAAAAAAATTATCTTGTGAGAGCTGAGAAGTTATAAAAAAAATTATTGAAATAGTCATAAAAAAACACATCATAGCTAAATTAATACCTTCTTAGCTGCGCATCGAAGATTAAAATAACTATAACAATACAGAAACTGTCTTAGGCAAGTGTTCAAACTGTTCAATAATACCCTTAAACCATTAGTGGAAAGTGTCTACCAATAATGTGAACAAATGGTTTGTAGACTTTTAATGTCTGTTTGAGACTATTTTGTAGGATTTGCTAGCTGGAAAATTATTGGACACTCCCCTACTATAGAGACTGAGACGATCTTAAGTAGGTCATTAACCGACATCATTTGGACTATAAAAGGACAATAATGACATAATTATTTTACAGTTTACGAACTTACATGTCCGTAGACAACATTAGACTGTAGTAAGATTTCAACTTATATGTTAGATACTATACTATACTATAATATATTTTATTATATTACAGTTATTTTTTGTTCATATCTTTGATAATACTATGACGTCTACTACTAATGTTTTTAGTTCACAAGTTACGCCACCGTGTCAGCAATAATATCATGAGTTCCAATCTGAGTAGATAGCTATGGTTCAAAATGAAGACATTACATGATATAAACGACGACATTTAACCCTTCGTTAGTCACCACGGGGTATTTTAATACCCCAGGTATATTAAAAACGTTTTTTTTGTATTTTTATTGATTTTGTAATACTAAATCTTACAAGTTGTACTTTTTTCTCAAATATCAAATTTCTATAATGTATAAAGCAGATATATATCTAAAAAATGAAAAAATTTTTTTTTTGAAATTAGGTCCCTCTACAGAAATAATGCACCTAAAATACGTGCATTTTTATAAAAATTTCCAACTTTATAGTCCTCTTAATCCCAATAAAATTGTTTTAAATATTTGAAATTTAGTTGACATATAGATTTATACACTATACAATACCACATTTGAAAATAACCATAAAATAATAAATTTCTAATGGTTTTAAGTGAGCTCAAAAATGCCAATTTTCAAATATAAAGTACCATATTTAGAAAGTTATCAAAGGTTAGAATTTCGTATAAATTTTTTTTATATAAACTTTAAGTTTAAGGTCAAGTCTAAAATTTTATTTCTAATTTGACTAAAACTTAAAATCTCAAATACTTTTTATTAATGATATTTTTCTTTAACTATTTTATTAAAAGATATAATAGTTGATTTATTAATTCACAATCTAGTTAAAACAATAAACAGTAAAACTAACACGTGCGTCAATTTAAATTATTTTCATAAAAAGTTCGCAAACATTAATATATTTTTTTAAATCCAAGAAAATCTTGCTTCATCTGTCAAATTGCCTAGCTCTCCACTGTGTTAAAATTTCCTCATATATATTTTCGATAACAATGATTTATTCTAATATGATTGTTTACTCAATTGCTTATATAATAATTTTACTAAAATAATTGCATAACATAAATTGAAGTCAGAGTCACTTCATTGTAAAGTATAAATTATTGTGTGCAGTTTTTTGCTATTTCAGAAAAATTCCAAGTTAAAAAAAATGGTACGTTTTAATTAATTTAATGCGTCATAATTAAAAATTTTATTGTATTCAATTTTTTTTAGACGATGCTCAATTTATTCGTTATTTTATTATCTTTATATTTTTTTTATGTAAAAGGAGGTAATTATAACATTCTATAAATATTATACTTTTTTAAATAATTAATTTTTTACTCTTATATAATTAAACAATTTTATTATTATACAATCATCTTTCAATAAAAATATGACAGTAAGATACAAGATTTAATCTTTAGAACAGATAAATAAAATTAATTTTCCTTTAAATTTTTACTTGATTTTCTTTAAATAACAATTTTAGCATCGATGTGAAGCTGAGAAGGTATTAATTTTACTATGATGTGTTTTTTTTTTTTTTTTTTTTTTTTTTTTTTTTTT